GACGCCAAATGTTGATGCACAAAACCGAAGGTCTTGGTACTACGTAAATCCGACCGTGAATCTGCATCAAATGTAAATAACACAAGATGTATCGTGGTTCACCCCAAGGTTTGGGCTACGTCCACACTGATTATGTATTTATCTGAGGGAGAGAGAGCTCTGAGAGTGAGAGCTTTGAGAGGGGTGAGAGGGCCTAGGAATTGGCCTCCTCCATTGTGAGGGTGAGGAGTCCCTTTTATAGAATAAGGGCTCCTCACTTATTACATATTTGCCCCTTCCTTTATTACATAATTACACTTAAGTTCCCCAAGTATTTATACGAGATCTAAATACAGAGGCCCTAAGTATGGTACAAACATATCTTATCAATCATGGCTAGCATATAAGTTGGAGTCACCTCTAGTGACCTATACAACACATTCATATCTCATCACATATCTCATCAATCATGGCTAGCAATAAGTCGGAGTCACCTTTAGTGACCTATACGACATATTCATATTTCATCACATATCTCATTAATCATGGCTAGCATATAAGTCAGAGTCACCTTTAGTGACCTATACGACACATTCATATCTCATCAATCCTGGCTAGCATATAAGTCGGAGTCACCTTTAGTGACCTATACGACATTCATATCTCCTCACATATCTCATCAATCATGGCTAGCCTATAAGTCGGAGTCACCTCTAGTGACATATACGACACATTCATATCTCATCACATATCTCATCAATCATGGCTAGCGTATAAGTCGGAGTCACCTCTAGTGACCTATACGACATATTCATATCTCATCAGATATCTTATCAATCGTCTAATACCATATACTTACTTGAGTTTACCTAAACTTACCTGAACTTACCTGTGTGTCTTGCATTCACCACAATTATATATATATGCCACCAATTCAACTCATCGTTTATGTATTATTCAATAGGCATGGCATTTTTAAAGCATAAATCATATAATTGCATTTTATGGGAAAAACATCAAGTGTATACATATATACCTAAAACCAAAAGCCCACACCGATTGCTAAATTCCTTAAACAAGGCTATGGTCTCGATTATTTAATCTCATTTCTTATATGGCTGCATCTAACGTTTCGTTAGACTGCCTACGTACCCTAAACAGGGATCAAGCCATTCGTAGTTCGCATTAATCATTTATAGTAATACACATATGGATATTTCACGATGAAATCTAAATTCAACCATCTCATAGTATTTTATAACATATAAATGTATATATATCATGGCATAGATTTCTCATTTTTATTTAAAAGTATTTATAGAATTATTAATCATGAAAAATATGATAAGCAAGGAAAGATCCACTCACCTGGAGTCCGCGCTACAACTTCCTAGCATAAACATCGAGGCGTCACAAACGATCGGTGCCTGTGACCAATTATCAAACCATATCTCTGAATTCTCGTTGATACGATACATAACTTACATCGTACATGAGTCTATGTAACTCGTTCTAGAAGATCTACAAATCAGATATTTGATCCATAACTTCTAAGGATCCACATTATGCTTCTAGAATAACATACTAAAGTTTCGGAATGATCCAACGGTTGGATTTCTGTCAATTGCCAAAACCAAGCTGCAGTCAACATTTATTTTATAAACTTACAAATCCAATTCGGGAAGATCCATACATTGGATTCCCAATCTGTAAATTCCTATGATACTCAAATATTATGCACTATAATGTATTAAAGTTTGGTGACGATCCAACGGTCGAATCGTCTATTCATATTTTGACATATTCATGTGTCGAACTAAAACTAAGCCCAAATAATAAAATTACGTCATACGGGTATCAATTATGAACCCAGGGCATCTAATAGTACTTAAACAAAACATCTTTGGCCCACAGGCCATGTGTCGCTGCACACGCCGCCGCGGGTGTGGTCGGCCGCCCCAACTTGCCGGAAAATTCAACTATTTTTAAAAATTCTCAAAAATTACAGAATTGAAGATCTCAAAGATTAGAGTAAACTTTATAACTGTAGCCAAGTCCAATTTTTCCTAGAAAGGCTTCAATTTCATCAAAACCCGTCGGAAACCCTAGTTTTGGGTGTCTTCAATTTGGCTCCATAGCAACTCTGACGCCTCAACCATTACCTAGGCTTTGTTCCTGGGTTCTAGAGGAGTGTTTTGATGATGGTAATTGAAGGGGATGGTTTCACAATTGATCGATTTTGAGCAAAGTCTCCCACAGCACCTATCAACATTTGTGTACCAAAATACTATCAATTTCCCTCTAATTTTTGGTGAAAGAAGAAGAGAAAGGGCCAAGGGGATGATTGGAAGTGTTTCATAGGTCCAATTCGTTGGAAAATTGAACGAGAACACGAGAAACCGCCAGTTTGAAGGCATGGGTCGCATGGGTCAAGGATGACTCGTTTCCCCCTTTTTCCCCGTTCATCACTCTCCCTCCTTTCCCTCCTTTCTTCTCCCTCTGATTGGTCCTCCACTTTCTCTTCTTTCTGGTTGGCCCAACTGCTCCCTCTCTCATGTTCCGATTGGGCAGCTTTGCCCTTCCCTCCTCCTTTTTCTGTTTCTGTTTTTCTTTTCTTTTCCCCTCATCTTCTTCCTCTTCCTCTTTAAATAATTAATTACTAAATGATATCACATTTAAAAATATATAAAAATATAATTAGTGACTGAAACAAAAGTATTTCTCGAGTTTACAATTCCGCTTCTAAGGGCATTTTTTTGTAAAATCATGCTTTTAAAATTAATAGAAATGTAAAATTTGGGACGGGTTGTCACAACAAGGCTAAGGTAGGGCATAGCCCAAGGAGGTTTTTTGTAAGTGTAGTGTTATCTATGCACTTATTTTTATTTCTCACACATCTTTTTCAGTTTTCGACCTTTGGATTGAATGAATTGACGAAGATCAATGACAAAAAATTAATAAGGGTGTGTGACTAGCACTATCATTTTTTAAACTCATGCTTTAATGACTTATGTTAATGTCTGTAACCTATATAGCCCACTCAATTCCAATACAGGTTATTATTTCATATATATTTAGTAGAGGATATGTAATAAATAATACTTTTTATGCTAAAAATAATAAATTAGTTATATCTTCCCTCCCCTTCTATCCTATTTGTTAAATAAAAAGACCATTTACCCTATGCGATTTAGCCTATGCCCATTCACTCATGATTGTCTTCGGCGATTCACCTGTACTTCTTACTCAAGAAAAGAAAAAGAATTTTCTTTTAGTTCACAATTAAATCTCTATCTCCACGATTCCTTACTTTTTGTTGCGATTTTCCAATGAATGTAACATTTGATATGTTTTGAATCGCTTTATTTACTTATTCATGATTTATTTAGTTGGTTAATTATTTATATGGTCCTTGAAGTCTTTGGTTAGGGTTATGATTTCAAGAATTGTTCATATTCTATTGTTGGTCTTTATATATGGATTATTATATAATTTTTTATAAGAAAAACAAAATAAACATATGACTTTATGGTACTAATTTCAACTAGCCCATCCAAGAAAAACAAATCTTGTCTCCGCCATTGATTGTAGAGGTTTTACTCTATGTGGAAATCACATCCTTTTATTTTTATATCCCCAAATTAGTGTTTTCTAGTGTATTGTTATTTGTCACAATAAAAAAATTATGCTCTAGTAGTTGGCTATAGACCTGACATTCGTGTCGTTTTTGTGATAGATCGGGTATCTTAACGGTTCGTGTCGTATAACATTCGTTAAAACAAAAGAGTAATATGACCCGATCCGAAATCGACTATTAATATTAATAGGTAATATGACCCAACCCGAAATCGACCATTAATATATATATATATATATATATATATATATATATTAAATAATAAATAATCAAATGAAAATCATAAATACTAAACTAGTATATACATACCACATTCTCACATAAATATTACTTCAAAACATAAAAACTCATTTGTTTTCAAATTTTACGTATCCCAAAATAAGAGCCTAATAAAAAAAATTATTAGTACATTATTACAAAATATCAAATGCTCTAGGATATGCAAAACAAAGGGAGTTGTGTTTCAAGATTGAGGAACCTTACATGTTTTTTCATCAAATCACCAAGGAAAGTAGTATTGGAACTTTGACTTGATATAATGTCTTCAAGAGTTATATTCATGATGTTTTTATTTTTTTTAATGTGTTTTGTAAGTTTTTAATCTCACTTTTAAGAGGATAAAAAATTTATGAGTATGATTGAATGAGAGAGTAAAAAAATTGTTAAGCCGTTGACTCTATTGAAAGTCTATCTTTTTGCCTATACTATACTAGTTGATTAGAATTTTGGACAACACATCAAGTAAATTTTATCCTAGTAATGATAATAAGAAATTCTCATAATAAAGCTTAATCTTTTTAAACTTAAATAAAATAATAATACAATAATACATATTTCATATACAATGTACGTACTATGGGTATTGTATTTTATAGTAAGTTTTTTTAGTAGTTTAAAATCATCAAAATAATTTTTTTCTTAATGGGTCAAAACAGGTAACCCACGGGTTACCTGTATGTAAACCTATTAAGGACCCATTATTAATGGGTTCTTAACGTGTGATCCGATAAAGATTCGATTAATTATCGTATTGACTTGAAACCCGTTATTTTCGTATTGTTTTCATGTTGCGTTGAGTTTGTAACTCAACTGATTAAGAGTACATTAAATGACAACTGACCCTTTTAATAATTCTTGTATCATAGTCAAGTTTTATGGAAACAAATATTTACAATAAAAGATGGAAGAATAAATTAACTTCGAACTTGTCATTCTTAAAATTCGAACCTAAAAGCTTTTAATTACAAATGAAGAGTTGATACTTGGGAGGAATATTTGGTATAACTTGGAAGGAATGACAACAACACTTACATGTATTTAATACAATCACTATCTAACGTCAGATGTATTCACATAAATATATATATTTTATACAATCACAATCTAACCGTCGAAATGATATTTGTATTAAATAAATGAAAGTATTGTAGCCAAATCCAAAATTTGAATATACAACACACTATCCTAAAATTGGGGATAACATACCTCAGGTATTTCTTGGTCTGGTAAAGTGAAAAATATACATCTGTAAATACAATTCCAATCACTTGGAACCCAAGAGGAGACAAGTAATATAAGTAAACATCACTCAACTCAACTTTTCGCATTCTTCCCGATTTCCTGTGTGAAAGTCTGGAGAACATAATTTATACGACGAAGAATGCGTTTAACTATACCACTCAAGAAAGAGAATCGAAAAAGTAAGTACAAATAGGAAAAGCAAAAGAAACGTCCTGCTGCTGCTATTCCGCTGGATTGCTTTGGAGATCTCTTTGTTACCAAACTCTACGTTCGTTGTAGCTTCAACTGCCTGTTGAATAGAACAGAGACAATTAGCCTTTCTAAACGAATACCGACAATTCAAGGCAGCGGGTCCAATACTAAACAACTGCACAGACACATAATCTGACACCTGATCGTATAGTTGCTCTATTTGGTGAGCTTGTTGTAAAACATGTGTGGACATAAGGTGATTCAGCGCAGACATTTCCGCCATCTTAGTTTCGGTTTCTTGAACTGCATCTAGAAGGCCAGTCAGCTCTACCTATATTGCATACCAAGAACAGCAGTAAGCAACTTTAAACACTTAAGGGTTTCTAAATACGGGAATAGCAAGGGTCAAGAGAATAGATAGAAAGCCATGTATTACAATACCTGAAGGGCACGTGTTTCATCATCTAAAAGTTGTTGTTGCACTGTTAGAGGCTCAGGTTGAAATTCATTAGGTTCCCTGAGCTCCAAATTGTTAGAGTTAGAGGTATCTGCAGATTCTGTAGTCTTAATCCGCTTAAGTTTTCTTCTTGGTGTTGCTTTATTAATGGAATCTTGGATGCGTATGGCTCTTAGCTGATCAAAACGTGACGTGACTGAATGGAGTCTCTCGCTTAAAATCAAAACCTGTAGTTTCAGAATATGTATTCGATAATTATATAAGCAAACAAGCCATTCATTTCTTGCCAACATGTTTACCCCGAGGAATATGCAATCGTAACTAAGTTGGATTGAATATTAAGTAACCCAATAGTCTGGTAAATATAATTCAGCTCAACAAAGAACAACTAAAAAGGACTAGACTTCCCATATAAAACACGACCAGGGCGAAGAAATCCATAGTTCCCTGGAGGCTAATCGGAACATAATAATAATACATAATATCATTGGATATACTTGATAGAATGAGAAAGAATCATACCACACCATGTTTGTGAGCTATAGTATCAGCATTAGAGTAATCAGTCCTAATGCCCAGCCATCCCTTTGAGTTTGCCTCATCATCGTTAATGCTATTTTTCAGAACATCAATTTGTTCTTGGCATGCTTTAATAAAAGTACTAACCTTCATTCAAAATACAACAAGAGCAAAGTAAACCCCAGCAATTTATGAAAAATTGTTCTTACACAATAAGCAAGTGAATAAAAAAGGACTCACGCATGAAAATGAAACCAGCTCAATGTTACAGAATACACAACTTAATCCTACATAAATTGATATACACTTTAAACACATGTTGACATCAAATTGAATAGCATACACAAAACTGTAGAGTTTGTGCATATAATTTTAGAATGAATCTATATTTCAAAATTTTCTGCAGCTTACAAAAAAATAAGAAGCCAGGATTTGTCAACTGATAACTTACTTCATGCTCAATGCTATCTCTCTCCTGTTCAGTGGTGCGATGCAGATCGACATAATCCTTTCGATGTTTCAACATAAACTGTTCCAGAGTTCCAATGCTTTCGAGCTGACCCAATGAACAAAAGGAAATGACTTAAAACATAATCAGATTAAATAAATGGAAATGAAGAAGAAGAGTGACAAATGTGTAGATACCGTCTTGAGGGCAGCTCTGGTAAAAGGTGACCTTTGGCGAGGGGCATGAATAATGAATTTCGCCATAATTGCTGCCAATTTGGACTGTAAATATGCAGATGAAAGTCTTCAATTGGCAAAATAAAAACGTAAATTCGATCAATTGGAGAGAGAATGGAATTAATTTAAGAACCTCGTTGTAACTCATAGAGATAGCAGAGTGGCGCACAGCATCCTTGAAATCTTCGATCCTATCCCTGACTTTCGACATTCTTTACAATCCAAACCCTAACCCTAATTTTCACCAATTTCCAGTTTCTTCTTCGGGGCAAGAAAGAAAAATTTGACAAATACACGGAAATTTAAGAAATTAAAGCAATTAATAGCTTAATTTCAATGGGAAACCCAAAGAATTTGGAGAAATGGTAGAGTTTGGGAATTGAGAAACCCTAGGGAAGCAGAGAGAGTGAGCGAAGGGAATGAGAAACCCTGTTGAACTGAAATTATTGTTGCTGTGAAGTCGTCGCTGCTGCCATTGTGCTCATGTTGTTTGGCTTATTACTTCTGCATGAGAAAATTAAGATCAATAAAAAGGAAAATGAAAACCTACTTGGAAAGGGAAATTCTAAAAACCAATAGGAAAGGGAAAAACTAATTTAAATCCTATTGCTAGTAGGATAAACCAATCCTAATCGATTACATCTTTAATGTAAATACATCACAGAGATATCATCCGGAGCTCTTAATTCTTTCATGGTTATCAGAGTTACATTTATCAATCTATAATGGGAGGATATATGAAGAAGTTGAATAATATTCGTTTCACCACAAGAATATTCAAATTGATAGCTATCATCCTACTCCTAGCCCTTCCTCTTTTAAGGAAAGATAAAGATAAAAACCGAAGTTGTCATCAATGGTGGATTTAGGATTTGAACCTTGGAGGGTTCCAATGTTAAAAGTCTAAGTTTTTTAGATAAAAACACAACGCGAAGCGTGCAAACAAATTTTAGTTTATTTACAGAGGCATTTCATCGAACACTTGGTGGGTTGTTGTCGTGTCAATTGAACCATGTTGCACATGTCAATGGATATCGATATTTACCGAAACAATTTGATGAGTGATATTGAGAGCATTTGTAGAGTGTCGTCGACACAACTTGCCGAGTGTTACCGAGATATGCTAGCCTATATTACATCAAACACTTAATGGGCACAAAAGACACGCGTACAAAACATTAAGAGGGTCCCCGAGGACCTTCACATGCTTATTCCCCGGGCTCCATGTGGTCTTGGGACCACCTTGGTCCCATAGTGCATCTGCCCTTGGCTGTCATACATGCTCACTATCGCACACTCATCATAGACACACCCTAATAGTATCATACAGTGGATTTTTCTATACAAGCAATATAATCAACCTTTAACTAATTCAAACTGTGGGGAGGGGAATTCGAACTCGGGTGTGTAGGGGCACATCTGCTCTAGCCTATATGAAACAGCATGTGCCATTGTGCTTGTGTTGTTGGATTACAAAATAATTTTTCCTAGGATTATGGTGGCCTCGAAATAATGAAAGGTCATGGTGGTGGTCCTGGAACAACAGAGTGTGTTGCTTTTCCGTACGGCGCTATGCAGCATAAAACCCGGCTAGAAGCCCTGAAGGTTGATCCCCTCCATCTCCAAGTGACCGTTTATCGTCCATGTCAAATCCCTTTCCTTTACTCTAATTTACCAATTGATAGGTATTATCCTATCACATTCATAAAAACAATACTAAGAATCGCAGGAATTGAAATTAAAGCTGCCAATCTACAAATCCCAGGACCCAAATCACCAGAAATTCGCAATAATTACAATAATTCAATAAACTTCTATGGGTTGATACCCAAATAATTCCAGAAATCATGAAAAAAAAGGGGAAATCCAACGGCAGTTACCTGAAGAGTGAGAGAGAAAGATAGCTGAGAGTTGAGTGAGAGAACTGTGGAGGATCTGAACTTGGTGTAGCAGCCTTAACCCTTACAGATCAAAGCTGAGAGTTCGGAGAAGAAAGAAAGACCCAGGGACGTGTGCTAGCGAGAGCCGACGCTCCTACCGGAGAAGATGGTTCTATTTGGATCCCAAGTTCTATTTCTTTTATTACCAGAATTACAACTATACCCTTCGTTGTCTTTTCATTTTCTATTTTATAAAAAGGGACCAGCCTTTTTGAGGTGCGTGCGAGGGTTGATGATGCTCCTACCGGAGAAGATTAGACTTAACATTCGTGTCGTTTTTGTATCATATCCGATATCTTCATGGGTTCGTGTCATGTAATATCCGTTAAAATAAACGGGTAAAATGATCCGACCCGAAATCGACCCAATAATATTAACAGGTAATATGATCCAATCAGTTATCCGTTAAGGAAAAAATATTTTCAACCAATAAATAATCAAATGAAAAACATAATACTAAATAAGTATATACATACCATATTGTCACATTTAAAATATAAAAACGCAATTTTCTTTTAAGTATATTTTCACTTACCTAAAGTCTTTAATAGTTTTTTAATTAATGTAGAAGTGTAAAAAAATATAGAAAAGATATATAAACGCTCGTAATGACAAGTTTTACAACTTTCATAAAGAGCTTAACGTCGAAATTCGCCACTATAATCATATAAATCATATATCAAAATTTAACCGTTGATTGTTGTTTACATTTACGCTTCATTGTTCTCATCAAATTCTGTTTTTTCCGATTTTCTTTTTTGAAAACTTGATCTATTAGAGGATGCAGGAAGAAGAACGGTTTGGATCGTTGGTATTATATTCCGAGTTTTACGGTTAGTGAAAATATTGCTTGATGTTTATAAAGTTTCTACAAACTATATGACATCGACTCATATTTCAGTTAACCGTAAATATCGAAATGTGATATCAAAGATCTTAACCGTTTATCTTCTTACATCTGCCAGATGATCATGTTTTCAAAAAAGAAAATTTAAAAATGAAATTCAGTAAGAAGAATAAAGTGTAAATGACAATTGACGGTTAAATATAAATTTAAGGTTTATGAATTATAGTGTTGGATTTCGAAGCTAACCTCTTCATGAAAGTTGTAAAGTTTGTCACTATGAGTGATTGGATATTTTTTTTTACATTTTTTACACTTCCACAATAATTATTATTAATTTTATTAATTTTGACCTCAAATAAAAAATATTATTCATGAAGGTTTGGAGGATTTTAAAAATCTAAATGATAATGTAAGTATAACCATTATCTAGTCGTGGAGGAATAATGATGAATCACGAATATTTATATATTATTTCATATTTTTCGTACCTGTATATATGTCTTCTTAGTTCTTGCCTATACAGATACTATATTAGTTTATTTTAATTTTGGACAACAACATGTTAAGTAAAATTTATCCTAGTAATGATAATAAGGAACTCTCATAATAAAAATAAATAATGACTAAAACTTTTTTTTTTAAACTTATATAGAATAATAATACAAAACTATATATTTAATATAGAATATATTGTTATATTAATATGGCTATTGTATTTTATAATAAATCTTTTAGTAATTAAACTTTAAAATTATCAAAATAAATTTTTTCTTAATGGGTCGAAACGGGTTACCCACGTGGTACCTGCGTATATACCCGTTAAGTAACGGGTTCTTAACGGGTCACCCGATAATGACCCAATAATTATCGTGTTGACCCGAAACCCGTTATTTTCGTGTCGTGCCAGAAACTGCCGGGTCTATAGAAGATGGTTCTATTTGGATCCCAAGTTCTACTTCTTTCATTACCAGAATTACAGCTATACCCTTCATAGTCTTTTCATCTTCCATTTTGTTAAAAAGGGACTAGTTGGTGACTTCGTCATGACAGTTCACCATTTTGAGGGTTAGAAAGATTCATAGAGACATTTCAGTCTCTCTTAGCCACCATCGTGCAATTCACCAGTGCCAGAAATTAAACTTAGAATGTGTCATGTGGAATACAGGTTGAACTTCATCACTAACCACTAGACCACCCGTGTTGGTTCATTGTCTTTTCATTTTTATCTTTATTTGTAATTTTCCCTTTTCTACAAATAATTTTTGCTTCTCCAAGGGGCACTGGGCAGAGTCAGGTTCAGTTCGCCTTGCTCTTAAAATGGAGAATTGAATTAAATAATATTAATCAGTTTGGTTTGATTTCCATTCGATTGATGTTTGATGGGAGGGAGGGAGAGATGAAGAAAAGTACACGAAAGTAATTGTATTCAATTTTTGGTTTATAATTTTCATTTTTGTATAATTTCACGCATATCCCTTTTATATTCCATCTCCCGTTATTCTCAAACTTTCTTAAATCCTCATTTCTCCTCAAACTCCATAATACAAAAAAAGAATAATAATAAAAAAAAACTAAAAATGAAATGATATCGAAAAAAAAAAGAGAACTTCACATGGCTTCATCACCGTGTTAGTCTTTCTCAAAATGAATTAAAAAAACTACTTCTGATGTGCTGTGAGAATAAGCTCATTTTTGCTGCTTCACGTTTTCAGCTTTTTTTCACCCAAAACTGTGAAAATAAGCTGTTTTTAAGTGTTTACCAAACACCTTTTTGAGCTTAGCTTTTTTTGATACCCACTTTTTATAAAAGCACCTCAGTACCAAACCAGCACAATGCTTAATGCTAATAGGAGTTGCAGAAGAATAGCTCTTATAAGCATGATGCGTTTTGGCTTTGATACAAGCATGATTGTCTTAAGTCTTAATGCTTAATTGGTAATAATAACAGGGTAAGGTATTTTCAAATTTGGTTGTGAGAAATTCACAATCAGACTAGTCCAGAATCAGACACCCTCGTCGACATCACCATAGCAGGAAGTTTGGAGAAGAACCAACATTTGAGTAAGTGCAAGGAAGATCCAACACTCGGCCACATGAAGCTTCTAATGACCATATGTCTAAAACCCACTCGCTATTATCTGCATTTACAAAACAAGTGAAATTTCTAACAGGCAGAATATCCTGTATATAAAAATTATAATTTGCTGGACTGATTAATCAAGTCTGCTAGTCAACTAAGATAGATTTGTTAGTTATTAAATCAAAGATTTAATAACCAATTTCAAATACCAAAAGTTAGCCTAGTCAACAAGGCCTCAGTTCGTTCCAAGTTATTTATGTGTCAAGTGAGCATGATTGGACACAAGATATTTTTTGTTGAAAAAACTCACATTTAGGTTAAAAAATCGGGGACTCTACACTGAGTCCAATCCACTAGTATAATCAAGATTCTTACAAATACCACGCAAAGCTCAATTCCTAGACCTAATCTACAGAGCAGCTTTACCTTTGTGCAACCTTGTCTTACACAAGATGGATTCCTTCGGCCTTCATAAAGTGGCAGCTCCTCCTAAACTGGCAGCTCCTCCTAAACTCTTCACCTTGTGGCACCAAAATGGTGTTATCTCCAGTCTTCACAGGATGGCAGCTATTCCCGAACTCTTAACCTTGTGACATCGAGACCAACACACAAACTATGCATATGATAATATGACAATGATATGCAGATTTGTATTCAAATGTCCAGTCAGTTTCTCTGGTCAAACTGTTGAAGGAAGAAACTGATGAGAATCCATAAATAGGTCAGTTTAAAGATTTGAAACTAGAAACAATTGACCACAAATTTAATGCAAAACTACAAAGACAACGCAACTCTATTCTTAAATGATTGGGTGTTTAATGCATGAAAGAAGGCGTAGGCGATTCGTCTTATCGATAGCTCTGCCTAAGCGTGAGGCGAAGCCTCACGATACCTAAAATTTTAATATATATATATATATATATATTATAATTATATTTATGAAATATAATACTTTGTAAAAATAAAT